TAAGAAGGCATCCGGGATAGGCAAGGATGTGCAGCAGAAGAAACCATCAGATCAGCCATGATTTTACTACTTGTACATATGTTGGTATGCATCAGAATGATGATTTAAGGTGCTGGATGTTTTATTTTAGATGGTTCAAGTTTCTTAAATGTTGTTGAAGCTGCACTCATTTAGTCAACTGTGGAGTACTCGATTACACTCTTCAATCGCTAGATATGCCTTTTGGATGGTGGCCAGGCCTCATGGAATCGGGAGAGGATTTATTCATAACAGGATTCCAGCCTCTTTCCTGTTCCCCTTCCTATGGGCGAAAAGGGTGGCGATATGTACTCGCATGGGCCCAAGCTATGCCTGTCTCTTTGTAGGATACATAGAACAGTCCCTCTTCCACAGCTACACTGGCACCATCCCGCAGTTCTTCCTCCATTACATCGATGACTGTATCGGCGCTGCCATGTGCTCCCACGAGGAGCTCAAACAGTTCATCCATTTTACTAACACCTTCCACCCCAACCTCAAGTTCACCTGGACCATCTCTGATATCTCTCTCCCCTTCCTGGATCTCTCTGTCTCCATCTCTGGTGACCACCTGGAAACTGATATCTATTTCAAGCCCACCGACTCCCACAGCTACCAATACACCTCCTCTCACCCACCTTCCTGCAAGAATGCCATCCCCTATTCCCAATTCCTTCGCCTCCGCCACATCTGCTCCCAAGATGAGGCATTCCACTCCCACTCATCCCAGATGTCCTTGTTTTTCAAGGACCGCAATTTCCCCTCCACAGTGGTCGACAACGCCCTTGACCACATCTCTTGCGTTTCCCGCATCTCAGCCCTCACACCCCCTCCCCACAATAACAACAAAGACAGAATTCCCCTTGTCCCCACGTATCACTCCATCAACCTCTGGTTTCAACACATTATTTTCCGCCACCTGCAATCTGACCCCACTACCAAGGATATATTTCCTTCCCCACCCTTATCTGCCTTCCAGAGGGACCACTCTCTCCGCGACTCCCTCATCCACTCCACACTCCCCACCACCCCCGGCACTTTTCCCTGCAAACATAGGAGGTGCTACACTTGCCTTCACACCTCCCCCCACACCTCCATCCCAGGCCCCAAGAAAACCTTCCACATTAAACAGATGTTCACCTGCACATCCGTTAATGTGGTATCTTGTATCCGCTGTTCCCAATGTGGCCTCCTCTACATCAGGGAAACTAAGCGGAGGCTTGGAGACCGCTTTGTGGAGCACCTACGCTTGGTTCGTGACAATGAACAACACTTCCCAGTTGCCAACCACTTCAACCCCCGCTCCCACTCCCTGGACGACATATCCATCCTGGGCCTTGTCCAGTGCCACAACGATGCCACCCGAAGGCTGGAGGAACAGCAACTCATATTCTGCCTGGGAGCCCTGCAACTTAATGGTCTCAATGTGGACTTTACAAGCTCAAAAATCTCCCCACCCCCGACCTCATTCCAAGACCAGCCCCCCTCATCCCCACCTCCTTGACCTTCATCTTTTCTCCCACCTATCCGCTCCTCCCATCTCACTGAACAACACCCACCCCCACTTCCTACCTACCAGCCACAATCCCGCCTCCTTGACCTGTCCGTCTTCTCTCCACCTATCTGCTCCTCTATCCACCTTCTATCATCGTCGCCCCCTCTCTCTATTTATTTCAGAGCCCCCTTCCCCTCCCCCATTCTGAAGAAGGGTCCAGACCTGAAACGTCAGCTTTCCTGCTCCTCTGATGCTGCCTGGCCTGCTGTGTTCATCCAGCTCCACACCTTGTTATCTCTTTCCTGTTCTTGTAGCTTCATTATTTAGGAGGTTGGCCCAATAAAGTTTCCTTGAGCACCCCAAACATTGTCCTCACATTTGTGAGCATCCGCATTAAGCTGTGCAAAGATCATTAGTACACAAACATCAAGTGTTAACATATGCTATTACAAAAGATGCGTCTGATCAAATTGCCATGGAATACTCCAACTAGTTGGACTGTGCCATGCCACCTGTCCCCCACTGAGATATTTATGTGGAAAACACCTTTGACCACAACTCCATGATTAAGTGATCAGCATATAATGTTGAGGCCCTGTGCGAAAAGTAGATAACAGATCATGTTAGATGGTTCCCTGAGCAGGCCACTCAAATCATTTTGTAAAATGCCTCATCATCAGAACTTAGAAATAAGCATAAAATGTAGCTTGGCTGATAGTGAAAACCCACCTTCCTCTCAAATCCTTCCTACATGTCTGGAGATTTACCCTAAGCAGGTCTCTGATACAGGATTCTGTGTTCCACAGACTATTCCCAGGGACCTATATAGTCTTCCAGATACAGTATTTAACTCTATCAACTCTTTGGTCTGTCCAAAACTTGCTGATCTTCCAGTGTGAGGTGTTGTCCTCAACTAGATGTTGCAGACACAAGGATGAGGATCACACTACAGTTTGGAGCAATCGCTGCAGAGATGCAATGGGAGCGATTGCTGCCTTGGACTTATCAGTTATATTCTCATCTCCTGGTCTTTTTTCCCTTTACATTTTATACCTTACACTACCGGCTGACAGCAGTAGTGCTTACATTTCCCCACAGCAGCTGTGTTGCACATGTGCAAATGCAGGAGTCAGTAAAAATACAACATGCAAGATAATTTTATTCAATATTTTCCATCACCAGGAAAAACACCCATGTAGCCAGTGAACCAATAACAAGCAAAGCGTGGAACAAGCAATGCTTATGTGAAAAAAAGTGAAGGGGAGGGTAAGGACCAAATCAAAATAGAGTTAGAGGACAAAATAAAGCATTCCACCCCTATGGCACCCACCTCTCCATAAAGGCATCAAGAATGTTGGTGGACATGGCGTGCTTCCTCTCCAAGGACACCCAGGCTCGAACATAACCACAGCAGACGAGCAGGCACTTGGCTGTAATGACCTCCTCCACAGCCCTCTGCCTGGAATTTGTCAGTTATATCACATTGACAGTCTAGAAACTGTACACTCTGATCTGTATACCTTATAAAGAATGTCTGTTGTAAATCAAAGGCTATTGGAAATGTATTAAAGCAACTCAGTATAGATCATGGTGTATAGAAAGAGAAATTATATCTATTGCACTTTCTGTAATTTCCAATTTGAAATGTTTTGCCCTCCTGCTATATACACTACCTGATAAGAAATGTATTTTGTAAATATTAATACTGTTACAATCATGTAGAGTAAAACATGCAATCCTGGGATAAGTTGAATTTTCTAGCAAACTCTATAGTACGAGTCAAATGTTTAGATTAGACTAGATTAAGATTTATTGAATTTTTTTTGCATGTCATACACCATACTCTGGCACCATATTGCAGTTTTTTTTCAAAATTTTATGAACAAAATATATTGTTTAAAAAAATGGCTAGTTAAGTTTTCTTGGAGCAAATGCCAGTATGATGTGTCCAAATAATTGTACTTGAAAATTTATATTGCTTGATACGCTTTGAGTAGTTGTCGATTATATATGAACACAAAAGCAGGAACACTAGAAAAAGGGTATTAAAGCAAATATAAATGCTGGTAATGGATAATAGCCACATTGGTCTCCATTAATGAAAGTAGGTTTCAATTCCAAGTTTGTTTTTAAATCAACTTGCTCAAGGGAATGTCTGAGGCAGGTGTGACTTGAACACTGGCATTCGAACCCAGATGTAGGGACAGTATCACTGGACCACATGAGCTCTTTCAAGGTTTTGTCTTCTTGTTCAGAGACACTATTACACACCTCTGCAGCAAGTGGGACTGGAACCCAAGTGTCCTGGCTCAGAAGTAGGAACCTATCACTATGCCACAAGAGCCCTAGATGTCTTTATTTTTAAAGATTTTTTTATATAAAATAACTTTTTTTTTTCCTAATCAATCTGTTTAGACATTATTATACACCTCTGGAGCAGCTGGTACTTGAACCTGGGCCTATTGGTCCAGGCATAGGGATTCTACCTCTACACCACAAGAGGGTTCCCTGCCGTGGCTTTTTAAAAATTATTTAACCTAAGTTTCCTAAATAGCTTGTTCAAAAATGCCATTACACATCTCCGCAGCAGGTTCAACTTGAACACGGGCCTCCTGGCTGAGAAGTAGGGACACTAGCACTGTGTCACAAGAGCACTATATGCCTTTTTTTTTAAACCATCATTATATCACCATGTTACAAATTAAAACAATTGACAAGCAACACCAATCCCACATTTTTAAAATGAATTTAAGTTACTTCAGCTTTCAGATGAGAGCCCTCTTGTGGCAAAATGGTAGTGTCCTAACCACTGGACCAGGACACCCAGTTTCAAGGCCCACCTGCTCCAAAGGTGTGTAATAATGTGTCTGAACAGGCTGAGTAGGAAAAAATAGGTTACATTTTTTTAAAAAAGCAAGTCAGAGGACGCTCTTGTGGCACAGTGGTAGTGTCCATAACCCTGGACCACGGAGGACCAGCTTCAAGTTCCACCTGCATAAATAAAAAAAAAATCAAAACATCCACTAGGACTCTTGTGGCATAGTTATGATGTCCCCACCTTAGAGCCAGGAGACCTTTCTTCATTGTCCACCTGTTCCACAGAGATGCAATAACATCCCTTAACAGACTGATTTAAAAAAATACGTTAAATAAGAAAAATAACAACAGGTCATTAACCTGGGCTCTGGTCCATTCTCACTACGCCAGCCCTTTCTTTAAACAAAGAAATCATCATAATTCGGAATATCATTCAGACAACCACTGACGTGCAATAAAATAAAAAAAATGAACATTTAAGTACGCAAATATGTTATAGCCTGCAGGCCTCTTAAACGGAGACGATTGCGGCATCTACAACATGGAACCTACCTCAACACCCACAACCTACCACCCCAGAAGTACCCCGCAGGATCTGGACGGTGAATCCGTTTGAAAAGACATTAAAATTCGAAATTAAACTGCCACTTTATCAGGTCCGCGAGCGGCCCAACGGGCATGACCCGACAGTGGTTCCGGGGGAAGGGTCACTTCCGGCGGTGGCAGTAGGCCGATTGCGCGGGTGATTTGTTTGGAAAGGAGCTGTTCACGCTTTTAACTTATCGACATGGCGCATTGGAATAAGTTCGAGAAGGATTTGAAGAAGTTGATACAGTACATTAGCGGGGTCCCGGAGGAGGACCCTGATTTCCAGTTGGCGCTGCAGTTCACTTGGTCTAACGTCAGGTAACCGAAGCCTCATAACATTGAGGGTTCGTTTAGTTTGGAAAATGTACATTTAGTGGATGTCATAACAATAACTTGCGTGCCTTTAAATAAATAATGTGCTCCTCATCCCACGCAGTTTATTGGACGGGAGACGTTAACTCTTTTTCCCCTGATGCTGCCAGATCTGCTGAGTTTCTGCAGACCTTTTTGTTCGTGTTTCAGATGACTGGGGTGTTAGTGGACAACCTTTGACACCATTTGAGCCACATATGGGGGACTACATGGGGCCAGACAGTCAATAGCTTGAACAAAAAAAAAGATATAGCGTTTAAGAGATAGTAGGAACTGCAGATGCTGGAGAATCTGAGATAACAAGGTGTAGAGCTGGATGAACACAGTAGGCCAAGCAGCATCAGAGGAGCAGGAAAGCTGACGTTTCGGGTCTGGACCCTTCTTCAGAAATGGGGGAGGGGAAGGGGATTCTGAAATAAATAGAGAGAGAGGGAGAGGCGGATGGAAGGTGGATAAAGGAGCAAATAGGTGGAGAGGAAACGGACAGGTCAAGGAGGTGGGGATGGAGCCAGTAAAGGTGTGTGTAGGTGGGGAGTTAGGATGGGGGTTGGTCAGTTAAGGGAAGACTGACAGGTCAAGGAGGCGGGCATGAGGCTGGTAGGTAGAGGGTGGGGTTTGAGGTGGGAGGAGTGGATAGGTAAGAGAAAAGACGGACAGGTCAGGGAGGCGGGTATGGAGCCAGAAAGGTGAGTATAGGTGGGGAGTTAGGATGGGGTGTTGGTCAGTCAAGGGAAGACGGACAGGTCAAGGAGGCAGGGATGAGGCTGGTAGGTAGGAGGTGGGG